CTCCGTTGAATTCGTGAAACCTGACACTGCCAACAGCCCCTCTCCCTCCCTGCTGAAAGACTTAAAGGGTCCTTCAGCTGATTGGCAGGTCACACACTTCTTGCCAATCAGCTGAAGACCTTTAAATCACTGGAGGGGAGGGAGAGGTGTGGCTGTGGTTTGGGGCTGGGTCTTCCCCCGCTGGCCAGGGCATATTGAAGCTCCCAGAAGCGGAGGAACCCCTGCCCGGACCTGGGGGCTGGCAACTTTAAGTGTTATCCTGAGCTCATGGGAAGGGGGGACCTTTTCAGTTCCTCCTTTTCACATCAGTAGCTGAAGCTCCTTGGAAGGTAGTGTAACTGAATGCATGAAGGGGTGCATCGGAATGAAATCACCAGTCCTCTGATATGTACACAGAAGTGCTTTGTAGCATGCACTCAAGGATGTAGGAGGTGGTTCTTTTCCAAATTTGTCCCCTGGGCTTCCTTGTGCAGGACCAGAGCAGCACCAGTCCTGGCTGACCTGTGGAATATGGAGATGACCCAGGCTCTGGACATGATTGCCCTCTCCCTTTCCATGGAGTCCAAAATGCCCTTGTTAACTGAGGAGCTTTGGATAATGAAATGGCTGAGCAGATGGTTAAAGCACAAGAGGAGAAAAACTCCAACCTCAACCAAATGTGACCAACCACAGTTGAGAGCACATTATTGTGCCTACTCTGTGGCAATGATGGCAGCCAAGCAAGCTCATTTTTCTGCCACCATTGTGTCTGCACAAGGCTGACTAAGGCCATTCCTTGAAAAATGTGATCTGGCCAGTGATCCATGGTCTGATCGCATCCAAGTTTGGTTACTGTAATGCACTCTAGGTGGTGCTGCCATTAAAAATGGTTCAGAAACTTCAGATGGTCCAAAAGGTGGCAGCCAGGCTGCTGTTGGGTTGGTTACAGGGATTGCCCCTGTGCTGAAAGATCTGCAGTGGCTACTGACTTTTTTCTGGGCACAATTCAAAGTGCTGGTTTTTACCTTTAAGGCCCTAAATGGCCTGGGGCCAAGCTCTCTGAAGGACCATCTCCTATTCTCCTCCCATACTATCCAGCTTGCCTGTTTAGATCTGCTTCTCAAGCCTGGCTCTGAGAACCAGTTTGATGTAGTGGTTAAGAGCGGCAGGAATCTAATCTGGAGAACAGGATATGATTCCCCACTCCTCCACATGCAGCCAGCTGGGTGACCTTGGGTCAGTCTGTTCTCTCAGAGCTCTCTCAGCTCCACCCACCTCACAGGGTGTCTGTTGTGGGGAGAGGAAGAGAAGGCGATTGTAAGCTGCTCTGACATTCCTTATAAAACCAACTATGGCCCCGGTCACACAAACCGGATATCGCGGGGGGGAGGCGTGGCTAATTGCCCCGGCGCAGTTTGATCCGCAATCACACGATCAGACATCCCGGCGGCACACCTTGGGTCCTTCCCTCTGCGCTGGCGGGTAAACGAGGGACCGGAGGGGATTGCTGCGTGCCGGCGCGATCATACCACGGGCGTCTGTAGGCAGCCCGTGGCAAACGTTTACTAGTACCTTGGAGGTACTAGTTTTTAAATGCGCATTGTCGGCGGTAAGCCACAGGTGTGCTCCACTTCCCAGATGTTGGGGTGTGATCGCGCCAGGATAATCCGCCCACCTTCCGTGCCTCTCCCGCGGCAACTTTGCCGTGTGACCGGGGCCTATGCCTATCTTCAGAGGTAAGGTAGGTAGCACCTAAAGATGGCATTTTTTGTGGTGGAACTTTGTCCTCTGTTTTCAGGCTCACTTGGTGCCCACTTTACTTTTAGGCGCCAGGCTAAAACACATCTTTTAATTATCTGCTCTGTTTTTATGCTGCCTACTTCTAATGGCTTGTTTTTTATTCGGTGGTTTTTAACTGCAAGCCATCTTGAGCAGGACTCTGAAGAGGCAGCATAGAAATATACTAACTAAATAAACCATTATTTAGTTAGTATATTTATTTGCTGTCACGTAGTATAATTCCTCCATTTTCTAGTTAAGTTATGTAAAAGGCTTCTTTAATTATGAGGACAAATCATCCCAATTGATGATTTAAAGTGGATCTTGTTATATTAGCATGGGCCAAGAGCTGGAAGAGGACGAAAAAACCAAAAGATTGAGACAAAGCAGCTGTTAGAAACAGGCAAGAGCTTTTTATTTCATCTGGCACAGAATTAGGCAGTCAACCCCCCAAAAAAACAATTATTAAAAAGCAACATTTATTTCCCAGGTAGTATCTTCAAACAAAGTTCACTAACATTGAGCCACCACTGTGCACTTGTTATTCTAGCAGTGAGCACCCATTCTAAGTAGACAAGTCTTATGAACAATCAGCTTTTGATAGCATTCTTATTTTAATGTCATGCTAAAATGTAGGTAACATAGCAGCAACCTTGGACATAAAAACCAATCTATCTCATAAAAATAGATTCTGGTGCCATGCTTAAAACAATGATAATGCTGATTTGTGAAGTGGCCACTACAGATACAGCCTTATTGATTGAACCAAGAATGGTTTATCGTCTGAAATAAGCATCTGCTTACCACTACCACCAGCCACTTCAAAATGCTTCCCACATTTTAATAGTAATGTTGACACTTAGCTCTAAAAATTGCCGAATTAAAAAACACCACCAAATGAATAAACTGCCTATTCACAGGATAAGCTTTTCACATTGTAACTGTTAGTTGGTCATTATTTTTGCTAACAATGCAAATACTACCTGAAAGGAATAGTAATATAGTTTCAGAATCTGTTGTTTTTTTTAAACACTTGATGCCTTAACAAGAATTTGGAGTGTAGTCTTCTGAGAAACATGGCACACTCATATCCTCAATAGCTGCCACAAGGGGGAAAAAAGCTGCTTTTGGTTTTCACAGGGATGGAAGGAAGCAATAACAACTGGATGCTATATTCAAATATATGATGAGGTTAAGAAGCTGAGTCTAGATTTGACACAAAATGATCAATATTTGCTTTTCTTTAAGTAGAAAAAATGGTTGGACTGGGAAGAACAAGCTATGCAAACAAGATCTTCAAGAAAAATTAAAAATGACTGGGTGAAGGTTGATTTCTACATCAACAGCAAGAATGCTTCTGTGAGTCAGGTAACAACACAAGTGTCATGTAGTATTGTAAAACAAGTCCAAGAGTTGAAGGTGCATGACTATTCAATAAAGATCTAATGAAAATGTGGCATATATGTCAAGCTACTGGGAAGGAGTCAGTAGTATCTTTTGGTGATCTGGCTAAGTGTATAAACTTATTGTGTGAACATTCCAGACGTGCAGGTTCATGTATGCCTATATTATTGTAATATGGAGAATTATCGAGGGAGCAATTTTAGCAGAGACTAGTAAAAACAAACATTCATCCTGATCCACAGTTTTCCAGGAGGCCCATTAACAAGGTAGATAATTCTTAGGTCTGATCAGACGATTTGAAGTCTATATGATTGCCTATGGGAGTGTTCATGATTTTGGGAAGATGCCTATGGGAGTGTTCGTGATTTTGGGAAGCAGGTTCATGATTCTGGGAAGATGCTACTTTACTGAACCAGAAGCTCCACCTGGTGTAAACTCATGGCAGCCATGAATTTAATAATTAGTATGTCCCTTTCTCAAGCTTATGTGGCCATATACATTCTAATTATATGATCCCAACTAGGTCACAAGTCTCTTGGTGATTATACAATACTGTAGGAAGTCACTGAACACCTGAACTGGTCATATACTTCCACACATACAAGAAATATTGGATCAGGGCTCTTATTTTCATAGTTTTTCTCTATATTTTCCTTCATATATATTATATATATTCTCTAAAAATATTTATTCCATTTAATCTACCATAAAAGAACTGATCTTACTTCATAGAAGCTCCTGCCACTCAATTCACTTTGGAAACATTTGTGTGTGCACTTAGCTTTTACCAGCAAAAGTTGCCTTACGTATATTTGATAGCTTTACAAAATTTATTACCTTTTCTCTTTGACTAAAGAATACTGTGAACAAAGTGTTAATGAGAACTAACACAAAATAATAAAGGGTACAATCAGCCCAAAATTAAGCATTTTTAAAAAATCTCATCCGTTTCAGTCCTATTGAAATAAACTAACGTGCTTAACTTTGACTTGATTGTGCCCAGAGTACTTGTTGAAATGGGCACTTTTCTCATGATTTAGAATGAAAAATACAAAAGGATTTTTCCACGCCAATGCTTAAAAAATAGCTGATTATACTCTTCATTTAATTTATGTGAAACACGTTACACAGCTATATAATACAGGAGAAGTTGGAAAGCATCTGTCCTATGTACACAATTGTACAGAAGGAGTTTGTTACACTATTTTTCCAGGCTTCTGCTTTTCTATGTGTACCTGAATAAATACAGTGTGGCATGATGGAAGAACATATGTTATGCACATTAAAATGTCTTTTATATCATACAAATGGTATTTGAAGTTTTGAGTACAGAAAACATGTTCTTAGACATAGACCAATACAAATTTGGATGCATTTACCACTTTTATTTCACTATGCAGAAACATACATTCACCATGTGTTGTGATGTGGCTGACAGTGTAATGAAGACAGTATCCCTTAAATGGATGTGAAAACCAAATATCAAAGAATTTTTCAGTAGGTGTTCTGTACAGTTTAAGGCTTAACTCTCTCCTAGATAGGAAAATGCAACCACACTCTGAAAAGAAACATTTTCTCTGAGAACAAAAGGGAAATATTTTTTGAAAAAATCAAAGTTTCAGAGTAATAATGCTGTAATGCTAAGGAACGCATACACTTTAAAATAATCACAACATAATTTATAGGATGAGGATTTGTCAAGGTTGGAAGATTTCTAACTTTAAACTCTGAATAATCTAAAATTATTAATACCGATTAAAGGTTTAAAATCAAGTAAACAGTGCACATCTTGTAACCATTTAAACAATGTTAGAGATTTACCATTGTTTATTAGACAATAATAAAACCAGATGACACAAGTATATGATTCAAAGTGTTTACTGAATACAGTGAGTTATTGGCACATCTAAGGTGATAAAACATTATACACAGTACCTATACAGCTTTTAGCATTTTAGGGTAATCTTCATTTACCCCAAACAAAAGTTTTGCCACCTAAGAAAATGTGATCTGTTTATACTTCCAATAATCTGTGAAGGCATGAACAGTTTTTGTGTGTAACATGAGATCGCTGTTTTATACTGGTGATGAACGTGCAGGTATAGATGGAAACTTAGTTTTGGAAAATTAAAATGCTGCTTTTTTGTAATTTGTTCGTTGCTTCATGCAATATTGGATTACTAATGCTGATTCAGATTGCTGTAAATGGGACAATATTTCTGCCAGTGCCTTTAGTAGCAATCAAGACCAGTTCTTCCACATTGAAATTTTCTCTGGAGAGATGTAAGCCTGCTGGGGAGAACCAAGACTCCATGTAGGTTCTGTTATTCCCAATGGCGTACATGACTGAATTCATATGAAAGCTACATTATTCCTGCAGTAGAGAGAAGGCAGTTAAATTCTAGAAAATAATAACAAATCATAGTAGGAAATGACTGTGCTACAAGCAGTATTATAACTGTCTAGGTCTAGTAGAATTAACTCTTTATAGGAGGGATAATTCAAAGGTGGGTATGAAGTATGAGTAATTTCCAGAAGAACTGCCTCAGGCATTCAGTTCAGGCATTCAGTTCTTCTAAAGCAATATGCAAGAATTCCATAAAATTATGCTTGGACACACTTCATAAGTTTCTGAGCCTGGTGAAGACAAGGATCACCTGTGTTTTATATGGAAAAAAATTGCACTAACATTTGGGGGCAGAATGAAGTAAACAAAATATGTAGTCAAGTTTTGAAACTGCAGCAAAAAAGAATCAGTTTAGGGTTTTTTTATGCTCAGAAATGTGGCACATGCTTTGCAGGCAGAGCATACCAAGTTCAATCCCCTACATGAGCTAGAAAGATTTTTTTCCATGAAAACCACTGTACATCAGAATAGATTCTACTGGATCAGACAGACCAATGGTTTGACTCAATATAATACAGCTGTTTGTATTAATTATTTATTTATTCAAACAATTGCAAGACATGATGCGGTGCCTACAATACATAAAATTTTTATACCCAGTTCCCAAATACTTTGCAAAGGAAACCCACCAATGAAATGTTTTCTTCGCCTGATCTATTGTAAATATCCCACCTTAGAAATTTTCTTTATCTTTTACTTTATCTACATTTGAAGGAAGCCACCTGTAAATCTGTTAAGAAGGCTGCCCAAATCCATTGGTGAGTCCCAATCTTCCATATGGGAACATATGACTTCTATTAACATTTGGGACTACACACTGCTTGAAACTATTGTTGTCAGTTCACACAAAGCAGGAAAAAAAATCCCCTTTTGCACACAACATTCAAAGCCACCTACAGAAGATGCTAGTATTAGGAGTTCTTGCATAGCATGTTAGTATGCACAAAGTATTCTAGCACATGCATATAATAATTGCAATACTGTCAAGATGTCTGTTTAGCTAGGGGCTGTCAGCATGCCTTTGTTGAAGTACAGCAGCAGACAAGGAAAACTGTATTGTCTCCCCATAAGAAACAATGCACAGTAGTAGCCATGTAAAAATGAGACAAAGAGATGTAGATCCGTGCTTACTACAGAGTTAGCTATGATAACATTTAAAAGTGGTTCAACCATACCTGAACAACGTTGCAGTAAAAACCTATAATTCTGATAGCGCTGCCCATAATATGACAGGCTGAAGCCATTACCAAATACACAATTATTTACAGTTTAAAATGTTTCCCTGATTCCCCACAAACCATATGTGTAAGCTGTCTTCAGAAATTATTTAGGAGCATACTGGACAATGAAAATGCATAACAACTAGCAAGCAGACACAAGCAAATGGGTTTATTCTATTTCTCTAACTGGCATTGTTCCAAAGAGGGGGGGGGAACTGTGGCCCCAAGAACATAAGGTAAATTTCAGAATCACTGTTTCCCTAAAATGTAGTACAAATGCCAGAGAGAATAAATAGAGAGGGTTAGAGATGAATTACGAAAGAAAAAATGTCTTTGTCACATGCCAGCTCAGTGAGTGTCTGGGAAAAATCACAGCCTCTTACCTGTGGTCAATCCTCCCCATCTTCTGGTGTGATTTCTGTCTCTTTATGTACCACTACTTTGGTCACTGACATGTCAGGGTGCTGCTCTTTGGCCTCTTTAATTGCCTGAGCCAGCGCCTAGCCCAAGGAAACCACAGAAGGGCAAAAACAAGAAGGAGGTGGAACATGCATGATCAGTAGCAAGGTGAAGAGAGATTCATGATAAATTACACAGTTTGCAAATGAGGAAAAGTGATTCAAAACAGGAGTATCATCTTTGATCTAAAGACTAATCAATTTTTAAAGGCATGCCAGTATTAACACTGTTCTTAGATTTATAGTTAGAACACAGCAGACTAATTTGGGGATAATTTATAGCTTATATACTATACCTGATCATGATCAATGTCTGCATCCCCTGTGATGACTATTCGTTTTTCAATTCTTGTCTCTGATATGCCTCCTTTCACTGTCTAAAGGAAAGAAACAAACACTGGCAGTTAACTTTTGATCTCAAAATCCAGCAAAATAAATTTATAGCTTTTGCAACTACTGCCCAGTGTTTATAGGGGTATATATAGAGAGGTGAGCTGGATGTATTGTGATGATGTGTCTAGCCCATGAGTCTTTTGATAAGAAGGCACACTTTTTTTCCTGGGTAGCAGTTTTAAAATGTCTTACTCCTGCGGTAGAGTGTACTGAAGACTTTCCTTGATCATCAGAATTAAATATCTAGGTGCCACCTGGAACCATATTTGTGGACCCCTACTTGCCTGTTTCCAGAGTTAGTCATTACAAATGATTTAGATAGTCTGTTCAGTAATTCAGACAATTGCTGCAGAATCTACCATGTACTGTTTACTTGCTTAAAAGAGTCTGTGGGGAAGAGGCCTTCTTTGGCTCAGGACCATGAGACAAGATTCAAGCTTGAATCTCCAATGTAAGTTTATTTTAATTTTTGGTAAATAGCAGTTATAAGAGAACTTGAATTGGACTGGGACTGTGATAGGAAGGAAGCCTGAGATATTTCCTGCACTATCTTTTTTCCAATTTCAAGTGGAGCTGAATTTTGTCTTATAGAGGAAAAATTATTCAGACACAAGGAGACAGAACCCCCCCCCCCTTCCTGTCTCAGTTCAAATCAAGGTCTACACAGCTAGTACATACATACAACAACAAAAGAGTTTCTACTATTTTATCTGGTTTGGCTTTCAGTTGCCCACCTTTTTATCCATTTCATAAAAGTCAAACCCATTTTAGCGACAGATTTCTCAGGAACTTACTTTGGTGATGTGTGTAGTAGTTGTAGTACTGGTAGTTTCGGATGTGATGGTCTGTGCACTCATCAGAACCCCAGGTTCTGAATCAGCAGAAGTGTCTGCCTAGGAAAAACAAATGAACAAAAGTCCTATAATGATAAATATCTTAAAGATTTTGATTATACTAATCTATAGTTCAGTGTATTTTGATACCATCAGCCATGATATCCTGGATAGTTTAGATGAAAAAACTAAAGATTAATTCAAGCAAAATAGAAGTGCTGTTGATGGTAGTAAATCTAATATGGCAATAGGTGTAAGCTGTTGTTGATGGGTTTGGAATACTGCCTGAGAGATCAGGTATGTAGTCTGGGAGTACTCCTAAATTTGTCGCTTTCCCTAGACAAACAGGTAACTAGGAGGACCTTTCACCAACCTACAGCCTGGATCACCAGTCTCTCCTGGCCACTGTCATACAGGTCTTCACAACAACTGCAAAGCATTTTATGTACAGTTTCTTTGAAGACAATGAAGAAACTTCAACTGGAGCAAAATGAATTGACCAGAATATGTACAGAAATGAACATATACAACCAGCACCAGGTGTTATACTCGTTTCCAGTTGTTTCCAGTCCCAATTCAAATTGCAGTTTTTTGACCATCAAGGTCCATAATTCCCAAAGTAACTTTCACATCCACATAGTAATGGAGAATACTATGGCATGAATTATTTTGATCTTGGTTCTCAGTGACACTTTCTTACATTTAAGAATCTCTTCTAGCTCCTTCATGGCTGCCCTTCTCAGTCTCAATCTCCTCATTTCTTGGTTGCAGTCTCCCTTTCAGTTGATGACTGAGCCAAGGAATAGAAAATCTTGAACAATTTTAATTTCTTCATTGTCAGCCTTAAAGTTGTGTAATTCCTCAAGAGTCATTACTTTTGTCTTCTTCATTTTCAGATGTAATCCTGCTCTGGCACTATCTGCTTTCATCTTCACCAATAGTCATTTAGTGTCTTCACTATTTTCTGCCAGTAATGTGGTGTCATTTGCATACCTCAAATTGTTAATGTTCCTTCTACCAGTTTTCACTTCACCTTCATCTAAATGTAACCCAACTTTCCTTATGATATGTTCTGCATATAGATTGAAGATATAGGAAGATAAAATGCATCCTTGTCTGACACCTTTGCCAATTGGAAATTCTGTTTCTCCATATTCTTTCCTAATGGTAACCTCTTGTCTGGAGGTTGCACATCAAAACAATCAGATGTTATGGTACACCTAATTCTTTTCAAACCAAACATAACTTTTCATGATCCACACAGTCAAAAGCTTTGCTGTAACCTATGAAATACAAGCTGATTTTCTTCTGAAATTCTCTTGTATACTCCAGTAACTGATGTAAATTTGAAGTGCTGTATAGATTCTGCCCCCCAGGCCAGTCCAGGGATGAGGGGAAAAACTCTACACTGGCTCAATACATTACACAATAACCCAGAGAGGTAGGCTCTCTTGACTTCAGAACACTATAGCCACCAGGATCTCTACTTAATCCCTCACCAGCCTGAAATTAGAGATCCACAATCTCAGTTGGTATGTGGGTTTTACACATTAGCAACTCTACTCAGAGGTACAAACTTTTACCTAGGTAGCTGTGACGACCCCTTAACTGGGGAGGTCTGGTTTTACTTTAAAAGTGTTCTTTATATTTTATTCTACTGGATATTCTGGCTGCCACCAGGAAATTTTAAAAGGATTTCCAAACCTTTATGCTTTCTCTATTTCTGGGTAGGTATGTCGAGGGTTTAAGGCGTTTGAGGTACTATGTGGTCCTGGGGAGTATTTCTTTCAGAGTGGGTATATTTGAATAAAAGAGGATTTATTGAAGTAATTCACAAATAAAAGATTAACTCATTGTAACCAGGAAGGCTTAAATATTGAACAAATGCTTGGTGTATCACACCCTTTTCTCTCTTACTGACAGGGATCTGGGCATGTAACTTTGTAACCCTTTTCCCGTCAGGCCATATACGGTTACTGTTTCTTTATACTTCAACTTTTTATAACACACAAGACTGTCTATCCTTCAGACTTCAGAATGTGCTTAACTTATCAACTGTCTTATTCAACTCTAAGACATAGAACTTAACAACCCACACAGGGATAAGTCTCCTTCTCTCTCATACATAGCTTAACTGAACTTTTTCTGACTTCATCAACTGTCATCTCTAACTGACCCCCTTGATAGACATTCAAATCCTCCACACGGCATCCATTCCAAAACCCCTCCCCCTCTCTGTCACTCACCAATCATATCACTTGCCTAATTCCAGCACTCTAGATTATCATCACAGCCATGCAAACCAAACTTTTA